AGGACAGTGAGGCACAGCCAAGTAACTTTCCCAAGGTCATACAACTGGAAATGACGAGTGGCTGGGATTTTGAGGTTCTGCATCTCACCACAGGGCACTACTGCTTGACTGTAGCATGAGGGTTAAAAGTCCAAGTTTTGGTGGCAAGGCAGCCAGTTCTGGTGCCTGGGCTTGGATTCTGGTCCTCTACTGTGAAGCAGTGTGGTCTTGATCAAGTTACCTGCCTATGCCTCCATCCTAGGATGGCCTCTGTCTCCAAGCCTGGCCTCCCTGGGTTCCTCTGTGCACTGTCTGGATTCCTTTGTGATGAGCCAAAATCCCTTTATGGGATTACAGGAAAATGAGGACCACAGACCTCTAAGAGAGAACGCTCACTGGGAGTTGTGTTTTCTTTTTTTCTAAGTCTCAAGAATTTTGTTTATTATAGCAAATACTTTCATGGCATTTAAAGAACTATCTTATTTCTTTAAAATGGGTTTAAATCTGTGAAACTAAGCCAGCTGGAAAGAAGACTTTATTTTAGAAAGAAAAAAATCAAACCACCAAAAAGATACATTTCACATAATAGCAAAATATGAAAATAGAAGGTAAGTGACGGAACTAAAAAGATAACTAAGCAATGGATTTAAGAAACTTTGTTTCTGCCCATCAGACTTCTTGTTAATGGTCCTCTTATCTTTCCATTATTAATGCCCATGTAGCATGATAATCTAAGATAACCATGCAAGACTTATTAGGTTAAAAGGAATTACCGAAAATGTGTTCCAATACTTTATAAATATGTTAATAAAAAGATTTTATTATACTTTTTGTCATGCTTTAGTGAAGGCGTCCTTTTAGATCAGACTCTCGTTTCTTAAAATTGTTTCAAATTTGTATCTAAAGATGTTAGCTTTCTTCCAAAGTGATTCTCCCAGCCTATCACAATAGTTATGATGAAGAAATACAATACTACATTCTAGAATTGTCCTACCTGAGGAAAAGAGCACTGCAGCCCATAGATAAGTTTCTAAATTTAGTTCAATCAAGTTATGGATTATCCAACTGACATTACGTTGCTCCAGCATTTTTCTTTTTTTCTTTTTTTTTGAGACAGAGCCTCAAGCTGTCTCCCTGGGCCTGGTGCTGTGGCATCACAGCTCACAGCAACCTCCAACTCCTGGGCTCAAGTGAGTCTCCTGCCTCCACCTCCCAAGTAGCTGAGACTACAGGCGCCCCCCACAACGCCTGGCTATTTTTTGGTTACAGCCGTCATTGTTGTTTGGCGGCATCAGGCTGGATTCGAACCAGCAGCTCAGGTGTATGTGACTGGTGCCTTAGCCGCTTGAGCCACAGGCGCCGAGCCACTCCAGCATTTTCCAAGGATCATTTTTAAATCATATTCTACGTCAGGGTGAGATTTCTCATATAAACAGGAAATTTCTGTAAACATTCGCAATTCTAGCTGTTTCTTTGAATAAATTTTTCCCCCTTAAGAGAGCTGCTCCAATGAAGAATTATTTCTTACATATCTTGTCTAAACCAAAAAAGCTCATTTTTCTATAGAAAGCTTTTATATTACTTAGTATTTCTGTCTTTTCACTTGGAGTTTTTAATGGGTTAAATCACTGATGCGGATAAAAGGTTCTCATTTGGCTTCCTGACTTGCTTGGTTAGGAAATTTCCTATGTGTGGTTGGCACTGTCCACTTGCAGCCCAGCACGGCTGTGCTTGTGCCCTAACACCACACCTGTGCTCACACCACACCAGTGCTCACACCACACTGGGCTCACACCACACTGGGCTCACATCATAACCTGACACCACACCAGATTCACACCATACTCTGAGACCACACCTGTGCTCACACCATACCTTGACGTCACACTTGTGTTCACACTATGCCCTGACACCACTCCAGGCTCACACCATACTCTGAGACAGCACCAGTGCTCACACCATACCCTCCACCAGGTGGTTTTCCCATGGCCCTTTCTCCAGCAATGGCGTCTCCTTCTGTCGCACTTCCCTGGGCAGGTGCTCTTTGCAATTGGCTGAGAAAGTCCCCAGAACAGAGCTCAGGGGACCCTGCCTGAGAGATTGCTGACAGGTCAGGAAAGGGCTTAGTCAGCAGGTCATATCCAAGTGTGACTTTCAGGGTGAACTTAGGCAGGTGGCTCTGCTGTGGGCTGGAGCTTTCTCACCCGTGGATGGGGGTGTTATAAGGCCACCTCCCAGACATTGCACAGGGAAGGGACAGAATGGAGGAGGAAGTGCTTTGTAACAGGGCAGGACGCTCCAAGGAAACATTATTGTGATCATCTTATAGCGGCTGAGAGAAAGGAGGCGACGAGTCTGGGGTCACCTAGCTGGTGCTCCCGCAAAAGACACAGAGACCCGGAAGGACCATGCCTGTCTGGTCTGGAGATCGCCGCCGCCGTGGTCCAGCACGCGCCTCTCGCGCTCCCTGGTGGCCATCGTAGCCTTTACACTCATCGGTGGTGTCCGGGCCAGGGGGCGCGGGGAGGGGGTCTCACCCCGCTTCACAGACCAGGAAACCGAACCCCTGGAGCAGCAGAAACTGCTCAAGATCTTCCCAAAGCGAGTTGGCGGCCGAGCGCTACCGGAGTAGATGGATCTGGTCTTTAGAGTTCTCCCGTTCAAATAGGAATGACAACGAGTTAGCAACTCTGAGACAACCAGGTCTCAGTAAACCGCGTCTTCTCTTCCAACCTGCACAGGAGTCGTGGTGAGGAATCAATGCGGAGGTTCAGTCACCAGGTTCAGTCTCCCGCTCCCCT